CGCACGTGGTGGAGTAATAACTACTTTTAATGAAACTGTTTGAGATCCAGTTAACGCTAGATTTTTTAATATAAATTATAGACATGTCGTCTGAGGACTATTTCTAATTGTTCTCAGTTATTTTGCTTTATTACCAGACTCAATATTTGGCTCATTCTTACATAGTAGAGCACGTTCGCACATGCGCACTCTTCAAACACGTTACTTCAAATCTTTTGAAAAACTAAAAGACGTAAATGACATTTGTATGTATTCTAAATAAAAGGCACCGGTTGTACTGGATGTCAGCTTGCTTATTTTGCTCAAGATAAGGATTTATTACGTCTAAATCTGATGCAATATAGAAACTATGCCTCTAACCGCAGGTCGAGAGCTGTCGTTCAAACCACACAACTTTGCGATGCTGTTTGCGAATGTTCGTTGGAACGATGGTTTCGGGAAACACCGACTCGTTGAACTATGCTGATAACGATGGAACTTGCGACCATAGTTGGCTAACGATGCTTTCGGGAAACACACCTCAGGTTGAGATGTTCAAATCATAGAGTCACATAGAGTCAAACCTGCCCTCATTGGCATTAAACACCATTGGTTCGTCTGTCTTGTAACTGAATGTTCGGCGATATTTAGATGTGTTATCTTTGGTGAAGTGGAGGATTATCAGTGAAAACCAACAAAAAAAGTTCAAGAATAACGATAAAAAGTTAGAAAATCCATATATAGCTGATCACAGCTGTTTACATTTCATGGAAAAGATCAGTGTGACTTAAAAAAAGTCATACATGTTTGAAATGACAAGATGCTTGTAATGTCCATTGACAGTTGTTGCATGTTCTAGAGAAGAGAAGAGAAGAGAAGAGAAGAGAAGAGAAGAGAAGAGAAGAGAAGAGAAGAGGCCAAAGGGGGAAGGGTGCTTTTGGGGCCCTTCTCAGACAGACATGAAGGCCTCCTGGACGTTTCCTTTCTGCTGGACGGCCTCAACAAAGGTGCTCAGTCATGTGAAACTTAATCTTGAGCCCCCCAAAAAATCACCTTTGACCTTTCTCTGCCTTCACCCAAGGAGAAGGGGCCAGGATCGGAGGCATTGGAGAGAGGTCACGTCCCCCAAGACACTGCCAGAGCACACGTGTGCGGACATGTGTGTGTGTGTGTTCTTGTTTGTGAAAAAGAGGGAGCGCCCCTTTAACTACATTTTTCCATCCTAGACAAAACACAGACCCCATTCTAATCCAGTGGTCCTCAACTTCTGTCTGGGTAAACATGGAAGTACCTCAGGAAAGTGATCATTTCTGTGTGCTCACTGGATCTAAAGGGGACTCAAATCAAAAGGGTAAGCAGCTGCAGTCAGTCCACAAGTCCAACCTTACTGCTGGAGAATAACACGTACTGTACACACACACACACACACACACACACACACACACACACACACACACACACACACACACACACACACACAGGATTAACCTACAAGAGCCCTGAGACGGGGGCTCCCCTGTCATCGATGCAAAGCCCTGTAGAGTATAAACATTGAGGCAAGACAGAACAGAGACCAGCACATTCAAGAGAGTATCACAATGGCTCCGTTCCAAAACCCTGTCTTGCTGTCTACTGCCTATACAGTTTGCTGCCTTGAAGGTGAGCCCCTAACTGAAATTGAATCATTTTGAAATGCTTTACACGAGCAGTCATACAAATTGAGTAAACTCACAAAGCTGCAGGTTGACTTGCCTCACAATTGATTTCATTGCCATTTTGTGTTAGCATGTTGCTAAGCTAACATCCAATAGGTACTCTATTAGGAATAAACATACTTAAGGTGCGCTACATTCGACAGGGTCCCTACGCAGTGTTCACTGCTCCCTACTCCCTGAACACGATATATCAGTTGAAGTGGACATCGCTGTCAATTTGGAATGCCCTAAAACGTCATCAAAGAAAGGCAACAACAGGGTCGCGCAGATTATGATATAACTTAAATAAATGTTGTTTACTGTACTTTCCTTTCTAATTTAAAATAAAATAGGCCTATAGATACATTCATTACCCCACACCGTTCATAAATACTAGTTTGTATAATAATAACAATATTTAAGAATACTCAATGCATACGTAAACTCAGACCCGTTAGAAATTTAAATTGAAAATCTCTTCCAACGGATCTGCTCTATGGTTATGGTGCGTTCTATTATTCATCCGTCTCGGAGATCCGAATCGGACGACAGACGTTGCCTAGCAACACGCCCCCTTTCCTCGGATTTCTCCTCTCGGACGTCGGACAACCGCGAGACCACCGAGCAAGAATTCAGTTTCGGAATTCAAGATGGCTGCCCCCTGTGACTTGTAAGAATGAATTGTTTTCATTGTTTTTGAACCGCTTTGGTATTTTAAATGACTATGATAATCACTCGTATTACTGTATCCCCTGTGGATATGGGAATCGGTTGTTGTGAGTGCAAATACTAACGTAGCAACGTTAGCAAGGGTTGCTAACAGAAGATAACATTAAATAAAGTGAACATTTGAACGTTTTGATAAGGTGTAGTCATAATATTTTTTTAAAATGTAAGTGCCTGGTACTCGGCCAGTGCTACCATGACAACAGCTTTCTCCGACTCGGACACGCAAAACATAAATAGAACGCTTGAAGTGTGGACGTGACGTCAAATCCGAGGTCCGAGTCGGTTCGTTGGCTATAATAGAACGCACCATTAGTTCTGAGTCTGATGCGGCGCGCAATGCCAGTTGGGTGATATCGCTCTCCACTTCCTGTGAAGTGATGTATCGATGTTCCCTTATCCCTACGCCGTTTGCAGTGCCCTTCAAACTGAACATGTTCGTTCCCTTCGGATTGGAATCTCCCTTAAGATGGCAAAATACCCTGTGAAGTGCACTTCGCAGTCCACTTATGGCCGAATGGAACGCACCTTTACTTTTTGCATGTTTCACGTCACAACATAAAATGTTTAGTGCAGAGTGGAGCTTAAAATCATGTTGTTATATGTATCTAGCAGTTCTGAAATTAATTGTTTGATGAATGGCACTAAAAAGTTAATGCTCTTTCTTGTTTAAAAATAACATGTCTACTACTCTAAACCCTAAACCTGACAGTGTTAACAAAAGCAAACCTGAGGTAAATACGCATTTGCTAAAGCAAAATTTTTTTTGTTTCAACTTTAAAAAGTAAGTGTTCAGGCTGCCTTAATATGTTAGTCTAACTAGAGATGTGAAGGTGTGCTAAGTGACACTTGGATATTGAGTTAACTAAACTTAAAAAATGTAAGTAGCATGAACATTTTCTTTGTTACGGTTTTTTCTTTTCTTCAACAGTGTATACACGTCTTTCAGCCCTTTTATTGAGTGTTGTGACTTGTGTTCACTGAGAAAAAAAGGTGTTAATATTGTACCACATGTAAAAAATAAAATATTTATATAACGATCAATCCACACCACGCTTGGTTTTCCAGGTTTCTTTATCAGAAAGGTGTCTCAAATGACAAAAGCCATTCTTTTGTGACGGAAATTGACAGATCTTCCCTGAGAGCCTGAAAATATATTCTTTAGGGAGGGAGAGAGGCCGAGAGCAGAGGTCAGGACCTGCTATGGGAAAAGTATGCAGGCTATGCATGCTCTGTTTGGGCCCAGGATCCCTTTGACCTGCCATTGTTCACCCTTTGACATTGAACTTGGAAGAGGGGAGCAGAAAGCAGGCTCGGCTCTTAAGCCCCGTAAAACACATACACGCAAACATGCCACAACCCATAGTGCCCATCCCCAAGTCTTAAGGGCTTTTATCTCAACTGTCAACAGTTTAAAAAGCTGGATCCTTTTCTAAGGCTGGACTTTAATCACCTTTAGGTCAGTAAACATAAAGAGCTGAAGCAAGGGCAGAGAGATAGATAAAGAGAGAGAGAGAGAGAGAGAGAGAGAGAGAGAGAGAGAGAGATTACTTTGTCACGTTGGTGTCAGTACACAAAGGAAAAGCAAAGAGTGCAAAAATGAAAGAAAAAGAGGCTGTTAAAGTTATAAAACAGACACCCAAATGACCACACAAAGCCTGAGACAAAAGATAAGACAGCTTACTTCCGTCATTTTGTCTGGGTTCTCTAAAGCAAACACACCTGGTGTTAATACTCATATGTGTGTACACATCCACACACTGACACACACATGTGGGCAGCGGCGTACAATAAAGGCACCAGGGTTTCTCAATTAAATACAAAAAGCAGCCTGTATATGAACGCAAAGATCCTTTTTTATGTGTTTATTCACACTTTTAAAAGTTAGACTATCGGTGTTATGTGCAAAAAGATGTATGGAAGTCTTAGTGTTGTTATTGTTAACTAAAACAATTAAAATAGTGTTTGGTAATTAAAATAAAGATTAGAAGAATAACTAACTCTAAAAAAGGCTGAAGTTTTGAAATTAAAGTTCTAAAATTCATCATATAGAATATATATATATATATATTTAAAAAAACAAATTGAATGACAAAAGCCCATATAGCAAAATTACTAAAACTTACAAACTAAAAATATAAAAAAATAAAAGCTTATTAAAATATCCAAATATGAATAAATACTACAGTAGTACAACCAATTAAAAAAAAAAAAATATATATATATATATATATAAATATCAACAGATCAAATTATACATTTATGTAGCTGAATGTAATGAAACCATGCAGTTAAAAGTAAAAGAATAACTAACACAAACCAAGTAACAGTTACTGCTTTGTTTGTGCAATGAGTCATAAATGGTAACTGCAGACTTTCTTGCATTTTCTGCGCTGATTTTGCATTTCAATTTTCCTTTGGTCAAATGTGTTGAACCACACACTTATATTGGTATGCAAACCAATTGAAGTAAAATATTTAATAAAGAAACATGCAAAGGGAAGGTGTAGAACATTACAAACGACAGACAATCCAACTCAGTGGACGTAGATTCCGTGTGGGTCTGGACATTAATGAAACACACCAAGACAAACTGTACAGTTGTATTTCAAAATGCATTTTAAATGTATTTATTGACTCTTGATTCATTGCATAAGACATCCATTCTTTCAAAGATGACTGGAATGTTTCAGGTTGTGGGGGAGACATGTAGGGACAGTTCAAAATAAAGAGGAGAACCCACTAACTATGAAACTTTACTGCATATCCAAAGGCCAGAGATCATAAAAGCACCTGTTCCTCATCGGTGTGTGTTATTTCAAAGAGGATTGCGTCAACAGACCATTGTATAGCCTTTTATCTGAGTAACCCCCACATAGCTTTTTTTTCTTCTTAGAAACTCATTTTCAAGATCCATACATTAAAACGATTCACACTATATTATCCTGCCAAGTTAAGGAGAAAAGAAAAACGGTGGCAGCATGCTGAGCTCAACTACAGGCATTTGTGTACCTTTAAAGTGAACAAGGAACAGTCTGGAAGTCTAGCCTCTATATAAATACTATCTTGACTACTCTTGATGAACAATTAAATCCAGATCCTCTCTACACATTGACATGGCAAACTGAAGTGTGTCACAATAGCTTTTGACAGACCATAAGTCAGCCCTATAAAATGTCAAACATACTCCTACAATCTCATTATAATGCATCCTGAAGAACTGTGTATGCCAAAGAGAAAGAAAGAAAAAAGAATCAGAAGAAAAGGAAATTCACATAACATTTAGTATTTACATAGTACATTGTAACCCCCCCAAGAAATGAAAAAAAATGGAACACTTTAAATTAATTTTCTGTATGAAGTATTACAAAAAGAAACCCCAAAACATTTAATCATTATTTTCATTTTAAAACATGTGATAAAAATAGAAAATGGCTGATGAAGCAGCGGGTTTGGACCATATTCACTGAGATAAACATCGTTACGCTGTTCCAGTTTAAAATCTAGCTTCTAAATGAACAGCCTTTTTAATTTTTTTCCTTTTCAAGCGTCTTTTAAGTCCTTTTTCTTTGACCAAGATTTCTAATCTAACTCTATTTCACATACAATGTTGACACCTCATTAAGTTGTTCAAATGAGAAGAAATATCTCTTGAGTGTCTCTTGTAAACTGGAAAAAAAAATTGAACAGTGCAGTTTTTTTTTTGTGCCATTGAAGAGCAGTTTTGTTTTATACTCAACCACCTGCCCGTAGATTAGCAGGACAGATACAGAGTTTTAGGCTGAGTGGCAAGTGCTATTCATAAAATTCACTATGGGATAATGAAGAGAATAAAAAGTCTGAATGTCAACTCGACCGGCACAAAATATGTGAACGTGGCTAAGTGCTTTGCTAATAAACAGGGGTATATACAGTACATAGCTTTAGAAACTGAAGAGTGTTGGATAAACAAAAACATCGTGGAAGTACTAGCAAGCAAGCTAATTCAGACTTTCATCCAATAATGTGTAAATGTCCTGAAACACGTTCCTGCATCGCTCCATCATAACTGCTCTTGCTAAACTACTTCTATTTCTAGCCAATCTGAGCTTAATTCAAAAAAGGATTTTCAATCCTGCCAATTCTTAAACAGCTTACTCAGGGACTATATGTTAAAGTTTCCGTGGATGACCCTGTCAAGAAATTCATTCTATAAAGATTTACATATTTACATAATGTTCCGTGTTCCATGCACCAATAGAAATGTATCAGTATAGTCCAATAAACTGGCTATATACTGAGTAAAACACATTTTCAGGGATACTTATAAAAAAGAAGAAGAAGAAATGAGACCCTAAGTTAAAAGAAAACTTACTACTGTACCAAAATCTCACCAAGCCAAAAGATGCCAACAAAATAATCATACTTAAAGGAACACAACATGTTATACTACTGTAGTAAATTATATACATAAGAACATATGCTGGATTCCTGCATTTAGCAAATTCACAATAGGTACTTGATGCAAGACCTAATTTTGCATTGAACAATATCCCCAGGCTTATGGCAAATGGCACACCCAAGGCACTCTTTTTTCACAAGCGACAATAAAAATGCAAACTTTTTTAGTATCTTAGTAAAATGTTACCGTTCAATCTTTCCTCGGTAACCCTACACTTTGTCTATACCCCTAATGAACAGTGTAAACCCCAGTGTGAATGTAGGTAGTCAAAAGATTACAGGCTTGAATGACAAAAATACAGCTTGGTATGATATGTAAAAATTAATTGTTTGCAGCATGAAATGTCCCGTTTGATAAAAGACAGTAACAACAGCAACACAGCTAACCCTTATCAATCAAGCTAATACACAAAAACATGCCAACCAGTAAGAAAAGAAGTACAAAACATTAAGTTATTGCACATTAGAGAGGCTCAGAGTCTTTTTCGGCCAGCATATTTAACTGACACTGTGCTTGAAACATTTTTCTAGGACTGCGAAAGACATCATAAAGTTTACTCTGTTTTAATTTCAACGCTTAAGGGCTGATCGTTGTGCCATTTTTTCATGTGCTTCTCCAGAGTGCTGTAGACGCTAAAAGGCATGTGGCATATCTCGCATTTGTAAACGTCCTTGCCCGTCTGTCCGTGCGTCTTCATGTGCCGTGTTAGCTTGCTGCTCTGAGCGCAGGCGTAGCTACAAAGCTCACACTTGTACGGCCTCTCGCCAGTGTGGCTGCGGCGATGCACTGTCAAGTTGCTGCAGTTTTTGAAGACCTTGCCACAAAACTCACACGTGTCACTACGCCGACCGTCCTTGGAGCTTGGTCGACCGGTTTGGGGTGTACTGGCCCTACTTCCAGTGCCACTGCGGCCAGAGGCCGTCCCTCCATCCAACTCCCCGGGGGGAGTGGAGAACCTGAGACTTCCATTCTCCGAGGAGTGCTCTGAAGAGGTGGCGAAAGGTGATTGTCTTGAGTCCCCAAAGCTGAGGAGAGGATCCTTGAGCTGGCGCGAAGCGGCATATCCGGCCAGCCACTGAGAGTAAACGTTTTCTGAGTTGGGGATTGTGGGAGTCGGAGGATCAAGGTCTTTTTCCACCTTGATGCGTTTGGAAAGAGGGCTGCCGGATCCTGGGCTTCTGGCAAGAAGTTTCCTCGAGTGGTCTTCGTTTGGGTAGGAGGCTGTTCCGTTTACGATTTGTCCGTATCTCTCGTTGACTTGATCAGACTCTTTTGGGGATTCGTCACCACCTGTTTCCCCTCGGTCCCCTCGTTTGTAAAGTTTAAGGGCGTCTCGAAAGTCCTGAATTCCTTCCACACTTTTGCTGTGTCGCTGTCTATTGTTCTCATGGTGACGTGCCCCTTCTAGGCTCAAGCTAAAGTTGATATCATTCCTCTCGCCGACCTCACTCTCGTTCTCCTCCTCCTCCTCCTCCTCCTCTTCTTCCTCCTCCTCCTCCTCCTCTTCTTCCTCATCTTCATCTTCCTCCTCTTCCTCTTCTTCATCTTCCTCCTGACCATTTTCTGGTATCAGGCCGTTGTTCTCACTTTTAAACTTGGCCACCACAGATTTGAGAGCATTGGTGGCACTGCTTATCAGATCACTCGTGCCTGGCTCAGGTGAACTGGCAGTTGAAAGGCCGTCATCTGATTTGGAGGTAGTGGAGGAGGATTTGTGCCGATGGGTCTTCATGTGGCGTTTCAACTTGCTGGCCTGAGTGCAGGCGTGGTTGCAGAGGTGGCACTTGTAAGGCTTCTCTCCGGTATGACTGCGCCTGTGGACGATTAAGTTGCTCTGGAACTTAAAAGACTTTCCACAAAACTCACAAGACTTTGCCTTCACAGTTGGCATGGTTGGCGTTTGCTCAGTTGGTGTTGAATGAGGTCCGGAAGGAGAATGAGATGCCCCTGGCTGAAATGGCTGCAGCAGCCGTTGCATAGGGCTAGGCCTGTTGGGCGACATGGGCGGAGAGGAGCCAGCAGAGTTGCCTGCAAGTTCCCGTAGTCGTCTCGAGAAGTCCATAGATGGGGAGTCCAAGGGTACCGAATTAAGACGTAGTACCCTGTCGAAGGCGCTTGGGTGATGTGGGGCCAAAGCCAAATCATCGGGGCTCATGTGGTGCCGTGGTGGGGGACTAAAGAGTGGAGGTGTCCTGGGATATCGGCCTTCCCTAGGAATCGAGGACCCATCTCTGTTGGCTATCCTCATCAGGCTATAGGGACTAGTGTCTGCAAGGTGGGCTGTGTGCAGCGGTGGCTGTGAGGCACAGTCACCACCCATGCCTGGAGCGGAGGCCACTCGAGGAGTTAACGGGCTCCCAGGTTCGCTCTCCAGATATATTCGGAAACCGTGGGTGTTCTGGGCATGCTGTAGTAGGAACCAAGCAGTGCTGAAGGGCTGCTTACAAGTTGTGCAAGTGTAGCTGCTGGGCTCATCTTTTTCTGCAAGACATAAGCAGATGGAAAAATTTAGGAAATGTTCCTCTTATTCACAATAGAAAGGCAGCAAGAAAGTACAAATTGACCAGACACGTTTATTACAAGGAAAATCCCTTTGGAGTAACCAGTGTCAATGTACCTTTCTCAGGGGCATAATGGTAACAGCACATGTCTTGTTTCTGGTAGAGCTCAAAGCAGTAACCTAGAGCTTTATCCACTACATCCATCATCCAAATTCATGCTGTTTAACAGTTCATAATATGACTCATGTAATCGGAAATGTTTTACATCGTTATTATTTACAGTATACAATTATGCTCTTGCCTTAAAGGAGAACTCCGGAGAACAATGAACCTTTGGTCTAATAAAACATCGGTACCAAGTCAATCGTTCTCTGAGTTTTGTTTTCATGATAATCGAATGTAAAGAGTTTTATCTCTAAAAACTGTTTAGCGTATAATGCTAATAGTGGTATCGCTAGTTTATACCACTAACACACTAGACCAAAGGTTCATTGTTCGCTGGAGTTCTCCTTTAATATTTTGACATAATAAATCCCAAATGTAAATTCTAAACTCAACTTGCCGAAAAAAATGGAAGGGAGTTCAGTTTCTGCACAAGCATCATTTCAAATATCAACAGCCTCGCCTGTCTCTGAGATATCTGACACAAAGGCCAGAGAGAACAAAAAACCTGTACCCAATCAAAACATGTTTTATTGCATAAGAGATGCAAGAGGAGCCTGGTAAATTATGGATCATTACAATCTGCAAAAATTACAGTTAATTGCTGCCACCTGTGTGGGGTTTGACCTCCTCTGGAGATTTTTCCGTCATAAAAAGGCAACTCTCTTTGCCTGCTTTTTCTCATCATTTACCATTATCACATGAAGACCACTGCTATTTTAAAATTTTGAAAAGAGATTTCTATGTAATATCTATCTATATGGTAATTCTTGCTTGATTATGATTTCCAAAAACATAACTAGAATACTATGTTGAGGATTTCCAATGTACATGACAATTTTTTTTTTAATGGATAAAGGTGTAACCCATTTCCTGTCGTTTAACAGGGATCCAAGCTCATTTGATCTTAGATGTAATTGTTTTTTTGTTTTTTTTTATGTAATAAAAGGTTTCGAACTCAGGTGTGTACCATCAGCAAACAAAACCCAAATCCACTTCAAAAGATGATCCGGGGTACAGTTCATGTTAACCGATATGAAAGCAATCCACCCTAACTAGGGAAATTAACTAATTGTTGCATTGCCCACATTCAAGTATGTCTTGCAATGCATTTGCAGCAGGTAAAAAGTTGTTTTATTCGGTGTTAAATCCAACATGACAAATACAGTGGTGGCCCAAAATAAAATGTGAATGAACTGCAGGGCAAGGGGAAGGTGGTAGAAATCAAACCCAAGTTCGGACGAGGCAATCAAACCGAGGCAATGAAAACAGCCTAAAATAAGGTAAGTGTTCTCCTTAGACATATAATCATCCTGCATCACTGACATTTAAAACACCCACCTCAACCAACAGCAGCTATTACTTGGTGGCCTTGTTCTGAGAGGGCGACTTATTGATTACTTTTAACCTTGTTCCTCTCAGCACATAGCCGACAATCACTTTTTCTTTGGTGATATGCTAAAAGGTGATGGAAGGGAAGGTATGGCAGAACAATTTGAGATTTTAAGAAAAGGATAGAAAAGAACTGTTTTGTGTCTGCTTGGAAAATCAGCAAAATACCCTCTTCTAGGATAAATCAAAGATGTCTAGGCATTTTTATGTTATTATTTTTAGACATTCATATCAGACAAAAAGCTTGGAGCAGTCTATTTTAATTTCACTTTCTTGGTCTCTTTTTCTCTCGGTTATTCTCTCTTTGTTCTGGTCAGACTCATTGTGTTGCACTGAGCGCCTAACCACAGACAAAACCCTATTTGACTTCAAGGACATAATGTTGTGCAGGACATTTTAACTGCTCTACAATCTATTTGGAGAGCAATCATACTTCTTTTGAGGTATAAGATTTTCACAAACTCCCATTGGTTTAATTTTTTGTGGCTTATTTACAGTACACTTTTTAGTTGTTTACAATATTTTGCACAATGTTTATCATCTATTTGATACATATGAGCTTTGTTTGAACTGATCAGAGCAAATGACTACTAATCAACATACAGTATTATACAAAATATATTTGAAGATCTGACGTTTATAAAGAGTTGCACTTTAGGTTACATCAGGTATCACCACATGCAAGTAACAGCACGCTCCTCAGACCCTTTAATATACAGTCCTTGTCCTAAATAAACACAGATAAGCATTAATGTGAAACCAAAAACTTGAACTTTGTACTTAAATGACCCAGATCAGAACATCTGACATCATAAAAACATTAAAGATTTAATATTTGAGGTTCATGAGGCGATGAGGCTACAACAACGCATAATTTACCAGAAAATAATTACACTTCACTCAAGCATCTGTGCCCTCACACCTGACCCGAGTTTAATCTAGACATGATTATTCTCATATTCAAATCAATGTAATGAAATGGTCCAAATGCCATATGGATACTCCAGGGACAAGGTGTGAAAACCATGCTTGGTCACAAGAAAGAATGCGCTCATCAGGCAGCTGGTATATTCTTGTCAGTGCCCATAAACATGTGTTGGCCCAAGTGTTTAATTTCCAGTGTTCTCAATACCAGCGCTGGACACACACCCTACCCCCCACTGCAAATTGAAAAAAAAAAAGTGTCTGAGGGGGTTGAGGAGGGTAGCCATCTTGGAATGGGGCCTCTCATAGAGCGCCAAGCAATGGGTCAGCAGTCACCTTAGCAACGCCTATTTAAGAGGTGGACAGACAAAAAGAAGTTGACCAGACAGAGAGGTGAAGGGGATGGCGTTTAAAGCCCACAGACGGGCGGAGGGTTCGACTGGGGGAGGTGACAGTCTGAGAAAAAGAAAGAGGTTTGGGAAAGATGAACTAGACTAGTCTGCACAGGGCAGAGGTGGAAGTTTTGTTAGCACACGAGACTGTCCCACAGACAGAGCAAACACTGAGGATAGAAAACCAGAGAAGAAAGGAATGTGAGGCTGAGACAGTTTCTGACTCCAGCAAGCATCTACAAGTAATAATCTCGTTTTTATGGAATCCTTAATGGAAAATGGTTAGTTCTGACTCTAAAATCTGACAGATTTAGCCACGTGCAAAACTGTTGTAAATCAGTAAACATTAATGTGCCAGTTGCTACAAACCATGAAAGATTCTCCACAAGCTTTGTATCACTACATACAATTAAAAAAAATATGTTTTGTTTAAAGAAATCTTTATGTTCTATATATATAAACGTTAAGTAAAATATCCAGACACATTATGTAGATGATGATAATGTAGGGGAAAATATGCTTATATATCATTTAAAGGAGCACTATGCAGGATTTCCGTTTTTGTCAAACTGTGACCCCTAGAGTGCGTTGTGGAGTACCTGTACTGTAAATAGCACTCACGCAGAGATGTCTCTGCACTCACGGCCTGATCCCCCTCCCTCTGTATACCGGTACCTATTCAGTAGGATGTAAGCTGTAACGAGTGAAAATAAGGTGTGGCCCCTTTAAGAGCTGCGCCCTGTTGAACTGTCGGCAGTCTATATTGTATGCGCCTCGAACACCACATGTATGCGGCGCCGGGTTATTTCTGTTTGATGCTCATTTCAGCATATCTTTCTTGTCGTGAAGCAATTCGTTACATCGCAAGACCTGATATCACACGGCACTTCCTGATGCTGCGGCCGGCAACCCGTCGACTCAAAGTTGCAAGTGTTTGTTTTTTCCGCTAACAGGCAACAAGGGGGGTTGGACGGCCAACATTCAACCCGAAAATAGTCATATAACCATTGCAATAACTCCAAAGCTATTCAGTTAAAGTAAAAAAAAAACTGCATAGTGCTGCTTTAAGAAATCAAAAAAAAATCAGGTAACAATTTATTTCGATAGTCCACTTTAGACATTCTACTAACTATAAGTAACTTTTCAACTACATGTCAACTAACTGTCATTAGAGTATTAGTAGTCTGTCAGCTTGTAACTTGTAACTTGGCGACTACAAGTAAATTTATTCTCCTAACCCAAAGCCTAACACCTAACCATAACCCAACAGTTTACTGACAGTCTACTATAATATACTAATACTCTAATGAGAGACATGTAGTTGAAAAGTTACTTATAATTAGTAGAACGTCTAAACTAGTGACTATCGAAATAAAGTGTAACCAAAAATCATTATGGTCCTGAAGTAGGCTTAATTTTCTTTATGAAACCTAAAAATTACTTATATGATAACGGGCCATTTTTGCGGTAAAATGGCAAATAGTTTTGAGATTCATGCTACAACTGTAACCAGCCAGTAAATCCTAACCAGGTTTATGTAAAATCCTAACAAGGCATGATACGGCCATGAAAAAGCCTCTTTTGTCTAAACCAGACACAATCAGGACAACCATATGACTTTTTGTAGATTTTTTGCGTATCCCTGCATCATGAAATGTCATTGGTCCGAACTCCTGCATCACACAACTGTACATTAATAATTAAATATCTGCTGTTGCCGTTGGCAATAACTCTGCAGTTGAGTGGCTTACTGCTTTATTTAGAACTGTTACTGTAAAGCGTTCCTGAAATTCCATTAACACAGATGGCCTGATGACTGGACCGATGAACAGTGTACAATGAGGGGTCCAGTAGCTCTAAACTTCACCACCATACCAACATTTCCACACTGCTCAACAAAGATTATTCCAAGTCATCCTGCTCCTTTCTTTGCATTCTCCTGATCTATGAGAGGACTACAAGCCTAAATGGGCATGTGATAGTCAGGCCTAGTCAGAGGGCTCATTCAGGAAGCCGCCCTAAGGCAGAGCGCTGGTACTGGGACCAGTACAAAAAGACCAGTGTTCCCAATTCACATTACAGCCACGGGGTCAATATTTAAGGCTTCCCA